CTCTAAGCATGGAGGTTCCCTTTTGTCACCGGGGCTAGTAGCCACTGACAGACCTTTCTTCCATGAAACTCTCTAATCCCCCTTTAAAGCTGCCTATTCCTGTGGCCATCACTACATCCTCTGGCATCACTCCCTGAGTACAGAAATATTTCGTGGCAGTGGCGGCGAACCTTTTAGAGACCGAGTGCCCAAACTGCGACCCAAAACCCACTTATTGATCGCAAAGTGCCAACACGGCAATTTAACCTGAATACTGAGGTTTTACTTTAGAAAAAACAACTCATACATTAACTTAAGATGATCCAAACAAAGTAAGGAAAGCAATCCCAAATGCTTTCATTTACTTAAAATTATTTGGCAGAAAATTCAACACTTTAATGATGGTCTGGGCCTGGCTGGGGTGATGGCACGGGTGCCCACAGAGAGGGCTCTGAGTGCCACCTCTGGCACCCGTGCCATAGGTTCGCCACCACTGCTCTAGGGTCTTCCCCAACCCCTACGACCTGCTCCTTTTAACTGGAGGAGCCAAGGATGGAACCCGGGACCTTCTCCGTGCCGAGCGACTGAGCCACAGGCTCTGGCCCTGGAAGCAAGTGGATAAGAGGGATTTCTTCCAAGGGGAGAGAGATGCTGGGGACTGAACGGGAAGCTGCCTGCCTGCCAACCACCCACGCAGCACCTGGGAGAGGCCTCTTGTGGCCAAATGCAGGCGTGTAATCTGCCTGCCACTGTCTTGGGGCCCAAACGGCCTCTGCAGAGGAGAACTTTGCCGTCTTCTTTCTTTCTCTTCTGCCCTCTTGTTTATTCCTTTCTTTTTAACATCGGAACGCTGAGATCCTTCCCAGTTAGCGAGGAGGGAAGAAGACAACACTTTGTGCATGCTCTGAGGCACTCTTTATTGCTACATCATGGCTCCAAGGCATCGAACGGATGTTGCACGCTGGTTCCAATGAACGCTACAGGTAAAACCGGGAGGAAAAAAGGACACTGCTTCGACTCCTGGTTTCTGAGCCAATATGACATGAGGGGACCTCCCTGCAAAGTGAGGGTAGAAACAAAATTTCTAATCACAGCTTTAAAAATAAAATCAACACAGGCGTGCACGTAAAACATGACAATCACTGGCGCCAGCAAGTTGCAGGAAAAGGCTTGTCAGTCACACAACCCTGCGCCGAATATCCTATCTTGATCTTTGCAGGCTGAGGAATCCCATTAATGGCAAACTTAAGCAGGGCCTTGAACAGAAAAATCACTGCAATGGGGCAAAAGGGGTGCTGAGGTTTCTTCTTCGGGAGGAACCACCCAAAAGTGACAAGACGGCCCTGAACTGGATTGCCCAGGCAAGATCCATCTCGTCAGGCCTCAGAAGCTAAGCAGGGCCGACCTTGGCAAGTATTTGGGTGGGAGACCTCCATAGAATGCCAGGGCCGGGAGGCCGGAGGCAGGATATCAGCCACTTCTCTGAACGTCCTCCGTGCCCCCCAGCAGGAGTCGCCAGAGGTCGCCATGACTTCCAGGGACGGGCGCGCACGCACATACACACACAAATGCAAAAAATACAAAAACCCCACAAAGTTACAGGACAGGTAAACACTGTAAAGAAACCCTTGGTCTCTCCTGCCATTTGCACAACCCAATCTGGTCTGCAGAGGCAGTTAAATTAGATCGGAAAGCGGGGATGAGCCACTTCCGCTCACGGGTGGGGACCTTCCCTTCGGAATGGTGGCTACGTGCCCAGAAAACCAAACCCACCACCCTCCAAGCGAAAAGCAAATCCAGACTGGTGGCTCTAGAGGAGCCGTTCGGTTCTCCGGTTGCAGAGACACTAGGATCTGTTCCAGCAAGCTTCCCTGGAGCAAGACCACCTTTGTGAGACGCGAGGAATGGGGATACCCATCTTTGTGGTGGCGGAAAGTGTTGTCATTGCCGCCAAGCAATGGGAACCTCACAGGTCTTTCAAGGCAAGAGATGAGCAGAGGTGGTTGGCCATTGCCTGCCTCTGCTTTGCGACCCTGGACTTCCTGGATGGACTCCCATCCAAGTACTGACCAGAGCTGACCCTGCTTAGCTTTCGAGATCTGAGGAGATCAGGCTAGACTGGGCCATCAAAGTTGGGAGGGCGGGGACGTGTTAGTTTTTAAAAGGGAAACAGTCAAAAATATGACTCCCCCACCTGCAGTCTGATGTGGTCCAGTCCATTTCACCACCCCAAGGTGACTCTAATAGCCTCTTCTCCAAATTGTGTGCACCTTGGGATAGAGATGTGAAGGCCTGGAAAAAATCCAGAAAAATTCAGCCTTTCCCCCTCCCCCCCGAAGAATTGGAAAAATTGAAAAAAGTAAAGGAAAAAAAATGATGGAACGTTTTATTTTAACAGGATGAATAAAATATTTTAAGACAAGGTGTTCAAATATTTTCCGAATCATTTCTAAAAAACATGTATGGTATCAGATTGATCTCATTTCGGAGGACACTGAGGACAAGCAAGTCCTAGGTTACAAACTGAACTCTCCAATGCAAGAACAAGATGCATTTCTTCCTTTAGTCGTTGTCACAAGAAAAGAAAAAGGTTTCAGTTTTGTTTTTGCATGTGGGTGGGTATTCTGTTTGTAATAATTGTTTGGATACGCTATATTTTTAATATGCTAGTTGTGATAATTTCATGCCAAGTAAAAATGTTCATAGTCATATTTTATGTTCCTAAAGTAACAGAATGACTCTCAATCTGGAAAAGGAAAAAGAAGTGCTAATGCAGTATTTTTTTCAATTTTTCCGAAAATTTCCATTTTCCTCTAGGGAAAAAAAAAATGGAAAAAAACTGAGTTTTTTCCCGAGCTTCAAAATTTCCGGAAATTTTACATCTCTACCTTGGGAAGAGGATTCTCCCGGCCTGGCACCTATCGATTCTGAATCATTTAATCATCAATTTAGACAGGAATCACGAGGACTCCTGTTAAACGTTCTTTAGGAGACGGGAGGAAGGATGCCGGCACTTTGCGGGTAAAGACTGCTAGCACACTGTTCCGAAACACGATCCAAAGCCGTGCTGTGGGATCAGGTGAACACCTGCTCACCAGAATCACGGTGGTGCTGGGCTGATTGTGAGCAGACCGGAGCCCCGGAGCCCTCAACCAAGGTGGTCCTGCCGGCCAAACTAGTCAAAGACGGAATTACCTGAACTAAGCCAAAATAATCACCTTACGGTCTACGTGGCTGAGTGCACCAATAGAATATCCAGTGACCGTGATAGGGGAGGAAAACGTTATTAACAAATCAACTCAATGGGATGCTTTTCACCGGCAAGGCCCGCCATCACATGTCCTCGAGTTGACGTGCGCACCAAGTCTAGCATCTCTGCCCACACGAGTTCCCCTTACACCAAGGCTGACCGCTGGTCTGTCCCCGTTATCATCTGCTCTGTCTGGCTGCACTCCAAGGTCATTTGCAGCTCTGCTAGCAGAGAACATATGATCCTGTTCTAAGCAGGAGGGGCTGTGGCTCAGTGGCAGAGCCTCTGCTTGGCATGCAGAAGGTCCCAGGTTCAATCCCCGGCATCTCCAGTTGAAAGGACCAGGCAGGAGGTGATGCAAAAGACCTCCGCCTGAGACCCTGGAGAGCTGCTGCTGGTCTGAATAGTAGATAATACAGAAGAAGAGGAGAAGGAGATTGGATTTCACTACTTGAAGGAGTCTCAGAGCGGCTTACAATCTCCTTTCCCTCCCCCGCCCCACAACAGGCACCTTGTGAAGTAGCTGGGGCTGAGAGAGTTCACTCGACGACTGCTCTTGAGAGAACAGCTCTGAAAGAACTTGTGAATGACCCAAGGTCACACCAGCAGCTGCATGAGAAGTGAGGAATCAAACCCGGTTCTCCAAGATTAGAGTCCGTTCTCCTAACCACTACACCAAACTGGCTACTGGACTCGTATCTAACTGGCAACACGCCAACCATCCAAAACGATCCTCCCTCTTTAGGGTTCCCTGGGTACGTCATGAGCCCAAAGTCTTGTCAGAGTCAGTGTGTCCCCCGGTGCAAACCAGATCTGCGTTATCTTAGGAAACCACACAAAAACTTGTCAAGTTCATTTTCTCCAAGAAGTGCAACAGAACTAAGGAGGGGAGTTCAGTCCACGGAGGTCGGTATTGTCTACTCAGGCCGGCAGCACGGACCCGTATCTAACTGGCAACACGCCAACCATGCAAAACGATCCCCCCTCTTTAGGGTTCCCTGGGTACGTCACGAGCCCAAAGTCTTGTCAGAGTCAGTGTGTCCCCCTGTGCAAACCGGACCTGCGTTGTCTTAGGAAACCACACAAAAACTTGTCACGTTCATTTTCTCCAAGAAGTGCAACAGAACTAAGGGGGGGAGTTCAGTCCACGGAGGTCGGTATTGTCTACTCAGGCCGGCAGCACCTGAAATCCTCCCCCCTCCCCTCCTCAAACGGCCGTGGCCCCAGACGGAGGGCAAGGGTCTCCAGAAAGGGCCACGCGCTTCCATTATGCAAGGCCTGGGCACGATCCCTCTGCCGACGCAGCCACGAAACGGTCGTGGCTCTTTGTGCCACGCAGTCCCTCTTGCCCAGCAAGTGGCTCCGGCCGATCCCTCCGCCGACGCAGCCACGAAACGGTCGTGGCTCTTTGTGCCACGCAGTCCCTCTTGCCCAGCAAGTGGCTCCGGCAGAGGGGAAGCGACACACTGAGAAAGGAGACGTTTTAGCCTGCTGGGGACGAGAGACCCCATCCGTTTAAAGAGTCCTGCGAGATCACAGCCCAAAGTTCTTCCCAGCCAAGCGTCGAGTTTCCAGCTGCCGGGCAGCAGCAGGGCGCTTCCCTGTTCTTCCTGCCGCATCTGGGACTCAGACGCTCCGTTCCACAACAGTGTTTGGCTTGCCTAGGCAGAGTCTCGGGCACTCCAGGCCCTTTGTAGAAGCCGCCCGGCCTCCGGTCCCGCCACCACCGGTGCGCCGACCTCCGCCCCCACGAGCACGGGGGCCGGGCCGCTCAGCGGGCCTGCTCGTTGTCCCCCACGGCGGCGAAGGGGCGGCCGAAGGTGCTGCGCTTGCTCCGCCGGCCCCAGGCCAGGAGGGTGCTGGCCCCCTTCCCCGGCAGCAGGCTCTTCCGCCGGTTCTCCTTGTTGCCCTTCAGGGGGCTGCCGGCGCCGGAAGACATCGCCGACGACTTCTTGTCCGCCTTCCGGGGAAAGAAAAGAGACGGAAAGGCAGCGTGAGAAGAGTCAGAGAGGAGGAGGAAGGGGGGGGGGAGCAGCCGCCAGCACAGTGCAGCAGTCAGAGTTGGACCTGGGAGACCCAGGCTGCAATCTCTGCTCTGGGTGACTCCGGGCCAGTTTCCACCGCCGGCGGCATGCAGAGAGCAGAAGGCGTAGCGACCCCTCCTGGTCATGTGATCGGGAAAGTGCCTGAGGGAGGAAGACCCCCCTGATGTTGCCTCCGGGCTCCTGGTCTGCCAGAAAGCTGCCTCTGGATGTGGAGGTTCCTTTTCGTCATAAACCAATGCGATATCACAGTGTATGATTCTACAGAAAGCAAGCAAGCACTGTGTAAAGAACGCAGACCACAAGTGCTCAAAAGTCATGCAAAAAAGAGGTGGGTTATATAAGAATCACAGACCACATAGATCAGTAAAATAAATTTACATCGTACAATGTACAGGTCCATGAGTAGTGCCAGTCCATAAATGGAACATAGATAAGAATCAGCAAAGGAAGAATTTACTCCTTTGCTGATCGGGTACCCGGTTTTGAATGATTATAATAGGATTGGTGAGCATTACGACCCCCTTAATAGGTTTTGTGTATTGTTACTGTAAATATTTATTTATTTTTGGATTTATATCCCGCCCTCCCCAAAGGCTCTGGGCGGCTAGCAAAGAGGCATAAGTGCCAAAGTTAAAACAAATAAAAGCAGAATAAAACAGTGTTCTGTTTTATTTTTTATAAATGATATTATAAGAGCATTTTCCTATTCTTCCATGTTTCAGAATTTTCTCCCGTAATACTGGTTTGAAGGCTTTTATACACTGTGAGTGCTGTGGGAAGGATTTTTCCTCCTACATATACCCTTTCAGTCTTCTGTACATTATGAGTACTTTATGAAGGTAATCTTTGCCTCTTAGTATTCAGGGTATGGCTTTGATTATAATATATGATTATTAACAGCTTGGTTTTACTTGTAATTGTAGTAGTATGAACTGCTTGAAGAAGAGCTTTCAAAACGAAGATCAAAATCCGGAGTCTTCATCCTTGTCTGTGTACCATTTATGGACTTGCACTATTATTATCTATGTACCATTTATGGACTTGCACTATTCTTATGTACCATTTATGGACTTGCACTATTTTTATCTAGAAGAAGAGAGAGAGAGAAGAGATTGGATTTATACCCTGCCCTTCACTTGGAGTCTCAGAGCGGCTTACAAACTCCTTTCCCTTCCCCTCCCCACAACAGACACCCTGTGAGGTGGGTGGGGCTGAGAGAACTCTGACACAAGGGCTCTTTTTCAAGGACAGCTGTGCCAGAGCTTGTGACTGACCCAAGGTCACATCAGCAGGCGCAAGTGGAGGAGTGGGGAATCAAACCCGGTTCTCCCAGATTAGAGTCTCTTGACAAAGATGCTTCTCCTGCTTGCCTCCTGTTTGAGACTAACTTTTCCCTCAGTGGCTGTTGGTAGGTGTAATGAAATGGCAGTTACCTGTGTTTGATAGAAGCTGTAGGGTTCTTGCTGTAGATCCAGGTTCTTGCTGTAAAAGCTGAGTGGGTGACCAGTCACAGACTTTCAGCCATACCTACCTCACAGGGTTGTTCCGCGGGTCAAAAGGGGGAGCGGTGAATGATGTAATCTGCTTTGGTCCCTATTGCAGAGAAAGACATCTTTTCCTCCTGGGAAACCATTGTTGCCAATCTCCAGGTGAGGGCTGGAGATCACTCAGAATTACAACTGATCTCCAGATGGCAGAGATCAGTTCTCCTGAAGAAAAGGCTGTACTCTGTGTCCTTATACCCTGCTGAGATCCCCATGAAGACAGCCAATGTGATGTAGCAGTCACGGATTCAGAGCACGGCAGAGACCGCACGTGCGGGAAGGAGGAAGGAAAGCTGAAGAGTGAGGGGGAAATAAAGGTAGGTTGATGATTGGCTGGGAAGGAGATAGGGTTGCCAACTCCAGGTGGAAAATTCCTGGAGATTTGAGGGATGGAACCTGGAGAGGGTGAGGTTTGAGGAGGGGTGGCACCTCAGACAGGTACAATGCCATAAACTCCACCCAACCAGCCATTCGATCCTGGGAAACCACTGTTGCCAATCTCAGGTGAGGGGTGGAGATCACTCAGCATTACAACTGATCCCAGGGAGGGAGGGGGAGATGGAAAGCTGAAATCAGAGGGACAGATAATGGCAGGTTGATGCTTGTCTGAGAAGGAGATAGGGTTGCCAACTCCAGGTTGGGAAATTCCTGGGGATTTGAGGGGTGGAGCCTGGAGAGGATGATGTTTGAGGAGGGGTGGGACCTCAGACAGGTGCAATG